TAGAGCGGCCACTGGCATGCCGTTCTGCCAATACCTCCTCACTCGGTGAGAGTAGGAGCCGAGCTGGGCTCCGTCTGCCACGATCCCCCTTCCCAGTGCATCCTGGATCTCCTTGAACGCCTCCTTCACCGGCTCCCTTCTGTCATCCGCCATATCCACATTCTCCAGAATGTAGAGCACCTCTCCTTGCTTCGCCTGTATCATTTCCAGCACCCTCTTCAGGTCACGGAAGGTCGCCCCTCTGCTGTCCTGCATACCCCTTCCTTCCCCGGCCCTGGAGTATCCTTGGCACTCCCATCCTGCCACTACTAGGTCTATCTTGCCCCATGCCTGCAGCTGCGTCTCGGTGATGTCCCTGACGTCGTCCACCGTAGGTGCTTCCTCCTCGGGGATGGCCGTCAACATCAGCTGCTGGGGGTAGTCTCTCAGCAAATCCAGTGCGTGCCCTCTCGCCACTCGCCTCACCAAGGGTTCCTTCTCCACGTGGATCCATCGGGTCACAAAGCAGCCCGCCTTGAGTGCCGCTGCCAGCCCGGTTCCTATCCCAAGATGGTGAGGCCTCCCTCCAGCGTCCAGGTTCGGCTTATCCGCTCCTTCAGCTCTGGCACCCCTTGCCCTGCTTCCCTTCGGACGACCCTGCGATCGTACTCGTCCGAGTATTGTTCCCACGTCCAGTCATCCAGATGCCTTGTGAGGTCTGTCTTTTCTGCCCTGAACGCCTCCCTCGGCTCCTGCTTCACGAATCTCACGGGGAGGGTCCCCACCGAGCTTTCTGGGTCCCAGTACTGTACTCGAAACAGTACCTTCTCCTGCCAAGTACAGATGGTTGCCCCCACTTTGTAGAGCAGGTCCATGCCGACCAACATGTCATAGTCTTCGGATTCGCTGACCCCGCATCTCACCCGCACACAACATTCCTTCTCGGTTCCCGGCAGCAGTATAATCTCTATCGGCTGCTTCGTGCAGGGCATCCATTTCGGCGCTCCCCCTTCGGCAGTCATCAGCAGGATCCCTCTTTCGATCAGCTTCCCTGGCGCCTCCAGCTTGAGTTGCTTGGCCAGCCCCTTCCCCAGCAGGACATGGTGTGCCCCCGTATCTATGATGGCTTGCGCCACAGGCAGTCCTCCCACCTCAATGCCCCCAGGTTCCGCTATCAGCACCGACGACTGGCACACCATTCTCTCGTTTGGATGCCTTCGCATGTCCCTGTCTGTCTGACGTCGCGCTGGCCCTTCTCTTCTTTCTCTGATGTTGGGCCCACTGCTGCCGCTGCTGCTGGCCTCTCGCCTGGGCCTGAGGTCTATGTCGCTCCGGTCCCTCGGGTACGCCATGAGCCCATATTCCTGCTCGAAGTCTTCCCCGTCCTCCTCTCCTTCCTCTATCTCCTCTATTGCCATCATCGCCCTGGAGCGCTCAGGGACCACCGGCATCCGCTCCAGTTGTTTCTGTAGCTTCTTCAGCTCGGCCTCTAGCTCCACCCTGCTCTGTCCGGCTTCTCTCGCCGAGCGTGGGTAGCAGTCCGTCGCCTTGTGACCCTTCCTCCCGCATCTCTCGCAAGTCGGCACCTTCGGGCATTCCCTCCTTAAATGTCCTTCTTCCCCGCATTCGTGACACTTCCTGTTGTCCGCTCTGGCTAACTCTCCCGCCTCTGGTCCTTGCATTGCCGTGGCTGCCCATGCTACTCGCGGCTTTACCTTGGCCTCCGTCTCCTCTAAATCCAGTAGCCTCTGCGCGTGTTCAGTCTGTTTGGTCAACTCATAGACTTGCCGCAGGGTGATATGTGCTCCCACCGCATAGACCGCGCTGCGCACCGCTCCCTTCAGCTCCTCCTCCAAGCCCCTTACGAACTTCCTCACGAGCAGGCGTTCATCCTGATTCTCGAGATCTTCCGCGAGCTCCTTGAGCCGGCTGTAGTAGGCCAGCAGGGACTCGTCCTTGCTTCTCCTGAAGCTCTTGAATTCCTCCATCCGTGCTTTGGTCTGCCCCACGAATTCCTTCTTCAGCAACTGCAGGAATCTTTCGGTGGGGTCGGCTATCTCGCCGCACTCGAGCTCTTCCAGCACCTCCTTCCGCACCATCCGGTAGAAAGTCTCCGCTTCGCCGGACAAGGTGCTGACCATCTTCCGAAAGAACTCGGCTGGGTCGAAGCCGTCCCGCGTCCAGCAGTGCTGTACCGTCTCCAGCTGCATCATATAATTCTTTAGCGTGGGTCCCGTCCCTGGAATGCCGCTGAAACGTTCGGCGACTTCGACCTTCGGCAGGCTCGCCCGATTCCATCCCTGGCGCATGGGGCTAGCTTGCCTTGAGATCGACGGCCCATGCTCAGCCTCTCTGCTGATCACCAGCTCCGCCCGTCCCCTCGTCGTTCCGCGCAGTTGTGCCTCGCCATGTGGCCACGCCGGGCGGAGCTCCGCTTCTCTGCCCCTCATGCCCGGCATTCCGACGGGGGACTCTTCTTCCGTGCCGCCGCTTTCCTGCTCCGGGGCTGCGCGGGCCCAGATTCCTGCCATCGGAGGTCGCCCCAGATCTGACACCACCCTGCGCATCTGGGACTCCGGCTGCGCGAGAGCTTCTTTCCGCCTCTGCTGCGGCGTCCTATACGCCGGGGACGCGCTATGACGCGATCCGTGGGGATTTTCTCTCGTCGCTTCTCCTTGGGCGTTCGTCGTTTCTGCTCTCCAACTTGGCGTGGGGTCTGTTTCTGTCTCTCTCGGCGGAGCGTAACCAAAACCGGACCTTAATCTGATGTAATCCGACATCGCCCGCCGTTCCTTGTTTGTTTGTTAAAAGTACGCAGACCTGCCCTCCTACCAGACTCTAGGTCTCGTGCTAGCTCGGCTGACTCTCTCAGCAGAGTTCCTCTTAAGCGTAGTTGGCTTGCTTGGGGTGGCTTCACAGGCTAGGTGTCACAAGGTTCGTAACGTTTGATATGACAAGTTCCCAGCATAAGGTAAAAACAAACAAACAAGCTGTGGGACCTAGCAACCCCCTCTGCCTAAGTATCATGCTTACAACCGTTGGCTGCAACGGTTGTCCCACTTCTGATTCCCGCCTACCAGCCCAGCTTTTCGATTCCAACCGTTCATACTTTGGTTCTCCCCCCTCTTTTCCCGATGGTTGATGCTTCCCGCCTATTTTCCCTCGTGTATCCTTTTCGTCTTGTCCCCCTAAGGAGAGACTCGACTCTAGTCTAGCTATTAGTCACACATTTATCTATAGCTTGCTACTCATTCTATTCTTGCTATCTTAAATGCATGACACTCTTGGGTTTGCTCCTTCGACTGCTGACCCGTCGCTGTTTCTTCGCACCGACACTACTCTGCCGCCGTTCTACATCCTCGTGTACGTCGACGACTTGGTTTTTGCTACTGCTGACACTGAGGCACTGGCCCTAGTGAGGGCGGAGCTGCAGGAGAGACACACCTGCACTGACCTGGGTGAGCTGCGGAGCTATCTTGGCTTGCAGATCACCCAGGACAGAGCACGCTGCACCATCACCCTGACTCAGTCACACATGGTGCACCAGGTCCTTCAGCGCTTCGGCTTCCACTTCTCCTCGCCACAGCCCACTCCTCTGTCTACCGGCCACTCGCTCTCAGCTCCACCTTCGGACGAGTCCGTAGAGCCGAGTGGTCCGTACCCAGAGCTTGTGGGTTGCCTCATGTACCTGATGACGTGCACTCGACCTGACCTCGCGTACCCTCTCAGCCTTCTGGCTCGCTACGTGGCACCCGGTCGACACCGAAAGGTGCACTGGGATGCTGCGAAGAGGGTACTGCGTTACTTGTGCAGTACATCGGGCATGGGGCTCGTGCTTGGAGGACGGGGTTCAGTGGTCCTCACAGGACACTCTGACGCTTCTTGGGCCAACGACCAGGAGACTCAGCGTTCGTCACAGGGTTACACCTTCAGTCTTGGCTCTGGTTCTGTCTCGTGGAGGTCCACTCGTTCTTCTTCTGTGCTTGGCTCCAGCTGCGAGGCCGAGATCTACGCTGGGGAGATGGCTGCACAGGAGCTACGCTGGCTGACCTACCTGCTGACCGACTTGGGGGAGCGGCCTCGTTCTCCTCCAGTTCTGTACGTCGACAACAAGGCAATGCTTGCCTTGTGTCGCGAGCAGAGACTGGAGCACAGAACGAAGCACATTGCTCTTCGCTACTTCCTTGCGCGTGAGCTGCAGCAGCGTGGTCAGCTGCGCCTTGCTTACGTGACCTCTCGGGCCAACACTGCTGATGTCTTCACCAAGGCCCTTGGGTCTGGTGATCATCAGCGTTTCTGCACTGCTCTTGGGCTTGTGCCCACTCTGCCTCACCTGCTGGTTGCTTGACTTGCTCTTGCTGTACCCTAATATATATATTTATACCTGCTTGTTCACTCTTGCTAGGTTGTGATCAGTGTACTGCCTTGCTATTCTATACCTCTGCATGTGAACTGGCCATGTGGCCACTTGCTTGTGCTCAGAATGCGTGGTGACGTTGTGATCCACCCTGAGCTGTGTTCTTTTCTGCAGACTGGTCTTGTGACCGCTTGTTGTGTTTGCTATCCCCTACTTTGCCTATGGGGGTGTGTCAAATTACAATTCTGTCTCTAGGCTACAGTAGGGTCACTCCTTAGTGAGTACAACACTTTAGGGTTAGGTTTCCCCTACTTGTACTCACCTCTTGCCTAGTTCAATCACCATTCTCTAGTTCTATTCTTGACAGTGCGCAGCGTGTCGTGCCACTCACGGGGCGCCTGGCAGAGACCGTAGATTGGTCGTCTCAGGCTCCACAAGTGCCAGTGAAGCCAGGAGGACGACGCAACCAGATCTCCTCGTGCAGGCTGCCCTGGAGAAAGGCAGTGGAGAAGTCGAGGGAGTGCAGCTCGTAGTCTCGCTGTGCTGCAACGCCAAGTAACACCCGAAGTGTTGTCATCTTCGGGGTCAAGGCGAAGATCTGGAAGAAGTCAACTCCCTCACGCTGACTGAAACCTCTAGCCACGCCTTGAAGACAGGCGGTGATCTAGGGTGGCGCGTGCTGCTCTGATGGGTGGCGCGCGCTGCTCTGCTGGGGCGCGCGCTGCTCTGCTGGGTAGCGTGCTCCTCTACTGGGGCGCGCGCTGCTCTGCAGGGTGGCGCGCGCTGCTCTGCAGGGTGGCGCGCGCTGCTCTGCCGGGGCGCGCCCTGCTCTGCTGGGTGGCGCGCGCTGTTGTGCTGGGGCGCGCGCTGCTCTGCTGGGTGGCGCGCTGCTATACTAGGGCGCAAGCTGCTCTGCAGGGTGGCGCGCGCTGCTTTGCTGGGGTGGGCGCTGCTTTGCAGGGTGGTGCGCGCTCCTTTCCTGGGTAGCGCGCGCTACGGAGGGTAGGCTACTATGGAGTGACGGAGCGACTACGGAGCAACGGAGCGGTACCGTGCTAGGCTAGGCTAGGCAACGGAGCACGAGCGGGCTAGGCTAGGCTAGGAGCATACGTACTCATGATACCATCTCAAGAGTGATGCATAGCGGAATGATGTGTGAGTAGAAACAAGGCATACAAATAGCAACCCTAAAAGGGTTGTACTCCCTATGGTGCTACTCACTGTAGCCTAAGAAACTAATATAACATTAGACAAAATATACCATAATGAAAACACCGTTGTCTTCAATTCGACACTTCAAAACGCACAGCACTTCAACTTTCCAAACGTTCCAAACAAACTTGTGTTTTCAAGTGGAACCAACTAGAAGGGGGGGTTCACTCTTTTAGCTGCTGGCTTTAAGTATGCCGCTGTTCACCCGTCATTTTTTTAATCTTATCTATATAACCCCTGGTCTTCCTGCCGGGAAATTACGGTAGCTTGACACCCAGCTTTAATATATCTACAAGCTACCGTACATCCAAGCATCTGAGTTCTCGGGGCCTAGCCTTTACAGGTCTTGGTACGTAGATTCATCGAAGTATAACCTACTTTAAGTATGGCACCCCTACTGAGTGTAACCTATACCGGTATCTCACTAGCATGTCTCGTATCATTGGTGAGATCAGGGAAAGTCTCCACTGTCTTCGTTCCCTCACGCAATAATATGTCATCCACTATCCACTGAAAACCAACCGTTCAAGGAAAGACAAGGAGAAACAAGCACGCACACAATGGGATGAGCAAGAGGTGAAGTTACCGCACAACATGCTATACCGTAACATACATGCGAGGGTAACCATACATCTTCTAGCATACGCGTGATACAACCATACGACAGGGTACCTCAAAGGGTTGAGTTGAGACATGTGCAAAATGTATCTGTATGCCCCGGGTCCAGCAAACATCAACACCACACCATACTACACTCAAATAAGTTTTTGCTGCCAATCCCACACCGAACCATGTGAACTCAGATGCAGGTGGGTGAACGCTCCCCCTTACCCCACCTTCTCCCACCACCGACCCTCCCCACTCCCACACAACCCCCAAGCACTGCACCCATGCCCCCTACCCACCTGCATCTGAGCTTCGAACACCGGTCTGGTATTTTATTCTACTCAAGAAAGCACCACCCTCTCGACCCCCCGGCCCTCCACCCACCTGCATCTGAGCATCAAACTCCGGTCCGGCCTCTCCGTGAATAACCCGGTGTCGCTGCATGAGCGCACTGCACTCCTTGTACCAGCGGCTCCCCGGCGCCCAGAGGTGGCGGTAGTCGGAGAGCACGTGGATCTTGTAGAGCGAGGCGAGCGGGCTGAAGAAGCCCGGCGTGCGCTCGTTCGACGCTATGTACACGTGGCGCCCTGGCTTTATCAACTTGGGGAGAGTCTTTAAGAGGCTGTTGAGAGGAAAGAGGGTGGAAGGAGGGAGGGAAGGAGTGTGGGAGTGAGAGAGTGAGGGAGAGGAGGGGGGAGGGGTGGAGGGAGGGAGGGAGACGTTTGGATGTGGGAAAGGAGGGAGGGAAAGAGGGAGGGAAAGAGGGAGGAGGGAGGGATGGAGGGAGGGAGGGAGGGAGGGAGGGAGGGAGGGAGGGAGGGAGGGAGGGAGGGAGGGAGGGAGGGAGGGAGGGAGGGAGGGAGGGAGGGAGGGAGGGAGGGAGAAGAAAGATATGGCGTGGGGGATCAAGGATGCTTAAAGGAGCTATTCTAGAGAGTTCAGTAGTACGCCCAGTAGGTTCTTTAACACGAGAGCCTCACTATATGCCCATGCCTCACTGAACCTACTAAAGCACCATAGAAACACCTTCCAACTGTAGCACTGTAATCCCACCCTTCCCAACCCTCACGTATCCCCACCCTCTCCCCTTTCCCTCTCTTCTCGGTCTCCCCTCTCCCATCCACCCTCCGCTTCCCCCCATTCCCTCATGCCCCACGCACGCATCAGGGCGGGTATCCCGGTCGAGGTGCGGCCAGTAGCGGTGGTCCAGCTTGTCTCCTCGCCGCACATGCACGGCGTCATAGTTCCCACCCATGCTGCGCCGAATGGCCGCTGCCAACCGCCGCAGGTACATGGGGCGCTGGATCAGGTTGTAGTTGCGCACCAGACGCCTCTGGGGAGAGGGGGAAGGGGGGGGGAGGAAGGGGGAACGGCGGCGGGGGAAGGGGGGTAGAGGGGGCGAGGTGAAGGGGGCGGAAGAGGGTTACAAAGGTCTGTCCCACATGTTGCAGGTACATGGGTTGGAACGTCACTTGTCTCTCCTCCTCTCCTCGCTCTGCCTTCTCGCTCCCACCCACCTCATTCCCTCCCACGGACCTCCCCCCCTCCCACGCACCTCACCCCCTCCCACCCACCTCATCCCCGCGTTCAGTGCACATCTCGAAGGCGAACCGTGTATTGCGCACGATGAGCGTGGCACTGCGCGCATCCTCGCTCTCCAGCCTGCTCGTGGGCTCGCTCGCCCCAAACACACGCACGCTCATGTTGTGCCTCTCCCTCAGAAACGGCACGTTCAGCGGCCCGAATTTGACTTCAAAGTGGAGGCTCGGCATTATGGGCTGGAAGCTGCGTGCGGGGTAAGAGGAGGAAGGGTTGGTTGGAGGGAGGGGAGATGTGGGGAGGGAGGGGGTAAGAAGGGGGAGGGGAGGTGAATGGGCCACAAAAGGATGCCATTTCTTTTGTCTTCAACCTCCTCTGCTACCTCCTCTACCTCCTCTATCTCATCTCTATCTTCTCAACATCCTCCACTCCTTTGTATCTTCCTAAGGTTGATGGCTCAAACATCATGGCTTAAAAGCACGGGTAAAACATCACGATCTGGAAATCACGCGTGAACAGCATGAGGGCGACAGGCCAAGTGAATAAGGAACGTGAAAGGCCAAGCAAGAAAGGAACGCAAAAGGCCAAGCGAGAAAGGAACGCAAAAGGCCAAGCGAGAAAGGAACGCACAAGGCCAAGCAAGAAAGGGACGCAAAGCCAAGCAAGAAAGGAACGCAAAAGGCCAAGCGAGAAAGGAAAGCGAATGGAGCCTTGACGACATGGAGTGGATTCTCAGGAAGTTCAGGAGTGAAAGGATGAGAACCCGTTGCTTACACAGCACGCGTTTTGGAAACCTGCTGTTAACTTTTGAGCAGAAAGTCACGCGAGCATGGGGCATAGGTGAAAGGCTGTTGCTTCTACCCTGGATCTGGAACTCCCAAATAAAACCTTGGCCTTCTGAAAGTTTAGAGGATGAAAGTATCAGTCAGCCCTCTAATTCTCGTGTAGATTCGGGGGACTTAACAAATAGGCCAACAGTTATCAGATACCAGTTATCAACCACCAATAAATAAATATCAGGTACCAGTTACCAGTGACCAGTGACCAAAAGGACAAGGGCGGCCAGTGGTCCATCGCATAGTACAGCACCATCGGTTTCTCCTCCGTCACATGGGACAAAGTATGCCGCCCGTGCAGGCACCTGGCCATGGGGATGATGAGCGTGCGGTTGAGCACCTTTGCCTCCGCCGCGGCGCACAGGAAGCTCCACGTCCAGTGCGACTCGCCCGCGCAGTAGTCGCCCTCGCCCGTCACCATGTAGAACCGCTGCGAACCGTCGATTTCACCGCCTGCGCCGCTTTCACCCCTCGCACTGCTTGCATCACCTGCACCGCCGCTTCCACCGCTTTCCCCGCTTGCATTCCCATCACCACCGCCAGCACTGGCATTCGGATCGGCACTGGGATAGCCATGATAGTAAGGACTAGGATTGGCGTTAGTATCCTGGTCGGCAGCATAGCCATTAAAGTCCCCATGATCCAGCCCTGCTGCGGGTACTACAGCGGCTTCTGCGGCGCGGATGGCGGCGGTTGTGGCGGATGCTGACTTGGATGCTGTGAGCGCTGCCATAGAGAGCATCTGCTGCTGCTGCTGCTGCTGCTGCTGCTGCTGCTGCTGCTGCTGCTGCTGCTTCTCTGGATCCGCATAGTCATCGTCCGATTCGACTGTGCCGCTTCCACTCACGCCCAGGAGAGAGCCACCAGTGGCATCGCCGCCACCGCCGCCACCACCGCCACCGCCGCGGTCCGACTCGGAAGGATCGTCTTCCTCACCTGCGCTGCTCGCACGAGACGCTGAGGAACCTGGAGCCGTGCCGATTTCCGCGATCGCCGCCGTGCCTGCCGCACCGCCGATCGCTTCTACCGCACCTATCGCCGCGTTTCCCGCTCCTTCAGCGTTGAGATGCTTCGAGGGAACGCCCTGCGTGTGGTTGGAGAGGAGAGATCGTGCCATAAGGATCGCGGGAACGAGCAGCAGCAGCAGGCGCCACGTGGCGAACTTCCCGACCCAGTGCGACGCGACTCCCTTCGAAGAAGTTAGCGACAAACCTGGGGATGAACCTACTAGAGACGACCCTAGAAATGCACCGGTATTCGTGACCACAAAACGGTTCGACAGGCGAAGGTCTTGCTTTGAAAGTTTAGCCTTCGAGGCAACTGACCGATGAAACGTCTCCATCAGAAACGCGCCTCGTCGCTCCTAGAAATACGAGGATAAAGAGGACGAGGTTGTTGAGTGGAATCAGAGGTGCATGGTTTCTGCTCTTCCTGAGATCATCGTTGACATCTCGGGAACAGGGAACTGACATATTATAGTGTAGAGCCGACACAAGTCAATGGTGTGCACAGAACTCATCTGAATGAGTTTTTTTCTCCAGCCGTGTGATCCCCGAGTTAAGGTCGCAAATGATCGCAGAAAGTCGCAAGCCTGCGACTCCATTGACTTCGGCCCCCATAGTACGAGGCAACTCGTTTGTATCGGCCAGGAACAAGACTTTCAGACTCTCATCCCGCTACAACCATTCAGCAGAGATAAGCACGGGCTGGGAACCAAGGAGCTGGGAGGGAGTCTAAAATGAGGGGGGAAGGAAACCACACTTTAGAGCGTGTGCGTCGACGACAGGGCGGGCCGAACCAGCACGAGTCGGTTTGGCTTTCCGGCACAGTTTCTGGCTTATCGCACATTACCGAGATGGGTTTCCTAATTACCGCACGAAACCAGAGTGTGGTTTCATTCTGACATTACCGTGTCAGATCAGCAAAGAGTTTCGTGCCGATGTTCGGCTGCCACGTGGGGGATGGAATCGAGAATGAACACGCCGGGCCTGAGGTTCGACCATGCCGAACCAGGAAGATCAAGAAAAATGTGAGAAAACATGTCAGACGTGGGCCAAAAAACGCGACACGAATCCCACGCTAGGCTTTCTTCCGAGATCCGTTCCCCCAATATTGACAATCATCCCACACAGCTACACCCTGAAATTTGCTAGAATGGCACCCTGTACACAAGATAGGCCGGTATAGAATCTTTCATGTCCGGCCTAGAGTAGATAAAACCCCTTCTTGATCTCGCGTACAGGGCCCAAAATATCAGGGTAAAACGCCCTGTGTCAGAAGCCTAAGTTGACTTAGGACTTGGGTTGAGGGTAGAACGAGAGTTACGAGAGGAAGGGGTCGAGAGATTAGCCAAAAGAGGTTGTTCACTATAGAGCGAGCAGTACGAATAGGCAAGAATCAAGAAAGGTGCACCACCAAACAAGAACATAGGGCTACACTAAGTCTACACTACAGGCAGTTATAGTAATGTATACAAGTACATTCTGACACACCCCCTAACTGCCTGCAGTGAAGAACCATGTGCAGAAACACCCCCGGAAAGGGTACACCAAGCGCAGCTGAAGACGGCAGAGAGGAATGCGAGGAGGAGGAGACGAGAGAGAGAGAGAGGGGAGAGGAGAGGAATGAGGAGAGGAGGTGGGGGAGCCACGCGGCGAGCCCCTCTTACGAACCCCCGTTTTACGAAGGGGGGGGATGAGAGAGGGATGAGGAGAGGAGGTGGGGGAGCCACGCGGCGAGCCCCTCTTACGAACCCCCTGTTTACAAGGGGGGGGGGGGGGGTGAGAGAGGGAGGAGAGGAGGTGGGGGGGAGCCTAGCGCGGCGAGCCCCTCTTACTAACCCCCTAATTCCTCGCCCCCTTTCATCCACCCCCCTTGTCAACCTCACCCCCCTTGTCAACCGCCCCTGGAACCTCACGTCTTCCCCCCACCCTTCCTCCAACACCACCCCCTCACCCTCCCCCCCCCCCCCCCCCCCCCCCCCTCCCCCCCACCCCAGGAGGGGCGACAGGAAGAGAGAGGAGGTGGGCTGGCGCATGCTGGTCATCCCTGCCACCCCCTAACCCTCCCCCCCACCCCACTGCAGTAGGAGAGGAGAGGTGGAGGGACGGCTGCTGGCGTGTCACACCCCCCACCCCCACACCCTCCCCCCACCCCTTTCACGGCTGCACCAGCAGCAGGGAGAGGGAGAAGGCTGGCGGCGGCGTAGCGCAGCAGCAGAGTGGCGTCAACCACCCCCGCCCCCCAACACCCTCCCCCCCCCCTGGTGCACGAGCAGCAGTGAGAAAGGGGAAAAATGGCGGGCGGGGGTGCAGCAGGCGGCTGCAGTTGCGCGTGTGGCTGCAGCTGCAGGTGACGCTGCAGTCGCGCGAGAGGCTGCTGCTGCGCGTGCGGCTGCAGCTGCGCAATTCGCTGCAGTCGCGCGCGCGACTGGTGACGTGCGTGCAGCTGCGCGTTCGCGGTTGCGTGCGTGCGGCTGTGCGCACTACGCACCGCTGGACGGGGACGGGACGGGCCGGGGCAGCGAGGGACGGACAGGCTGCGACGAGGGGGCCGAAACGGGGCCGCATCTGGCGCCATCGCGCAGCTCGCCGTCACGGGCAGCGTGACGGACGGAAGCTGCGCGACAGGCAGCACGAAGCGGGGATCGAATGGGGGCGAATGCGCAATGCAGGAGCGAGAAAATAACGGCGGTGGGCCCATGGACAACAGGTCTTAGGAGCTTAAGTGCTCTGAAACCATGTCAGAAGCCTAAGTTGACTTAGGACTTGGGTTGAGGGTAGAACGAGAGTTACGAGAGGAAGGGGTCGAGAGATTAGCCAAAAGAGGTTGTTCACTATAGAGCGAGCAGTACAAATAGGCAAGAATCAAGAAAGGTGCACCACCAAACAAGAACATAGGGCTACACTAAGTCTACACTACAGGCAGTTATAGTAATGTATACAAGTACATTCTGACA